CTACCTTGCTGATATCCATACAACACAGGTCTGTTTCCCCTACTAAAGCAACAACTCTTTGGGCCATCTCTGCATAGCAGGAAGTCATCTTGTGATGAAATAGGGAAACATAAGAAGCAAAGAGTTCAGGGAGGGAAGCGGTTCTTGGGAGTACCTGTTTTGTTTTTTACATGTCAGAAGCAACTTGAGAAACTTCAAGTCACTTCTGATGTGAGAGAATTGGCTGTCTGGATGTTTTTAATGTTTTACCGTCCTTATGGGAGGCTTCTCTCATGTCCCCGCATGGGGAGCTGAAGCTGACAGAAGGAGCTCATCTGCGCTCTTCCCGGATTTGAACTTACGACCTGTAGGTCTTCAGTCCTGCTGGCACAAAGGTTTAACTCACTGCACCACCAGGGACTCCTGGGAGCACCAGTAATGAACAGAAACCCATTTAGAGATCAGTCATTCTAAGAATTATGCAGCATTAAATAAAGTTTATTTGTTCCACTCTGGAATCTCCTGTGGCATTATTTTACAAAATCAGCAACAGCAAATATTACAAGCACAGTAATTGCAGGATATGCAATGTCACACGACTAGCATGCTTCAGTCTTGCATTTATAGAGGTACCATCACAGGGAACAAAACACTCACGCCTTTTCAAAATACAACCAAACAGTATAAGGATTAGTATATGCTCCTTTTTCTAGAAAGCAAAATGTTTCTGCATTGCACATTACATTCATCCAAAAAGCACTTTTTGAAGTAGGACTCCAAATTAAAAACAGTTTTGGGTTGTCAGGGCCTGGCCAAGATGATTTGCTGCCTGAGGAAAAGGACAAGGAGGTATGTGCATATGTACGCACATAGAACATATATTTTCATGTACAGCAGCAACTTAGTTTAGGTGTGAAATCCAAGTCAGGTAGCATAAATAACCACATTAGCTACTGTGCCCTCAGATCTCTTGATGTCAGGAACCAGCAGGGTCTCCCCCACCCACCATCTTTTTGCCAATGACCAGTATCATATTTCTGCCAATTGCCTTTTTTTTTCTCTCTGTCCTAGAAATGTATTGCAGATCAACAGCCCATAACTCATCGACCAGCACCAGTCTACAGACCAACACTTTGAGTAGTCCAACAACAACTACAAAACTTGCCTCACTCCAACAGTAGGCTCAGTGAAGCTAAATGTAAGGGGAGACGTATTGCCAAATGTTCAGTTCTTGTATTACCATTATACTTAAACAAATAGTAGACAATAGCATCTACTCCTTGGCTGTTCTCATGTTATCCAATGATGCACTCCTCTATACTACTTTTCCAATGACCTCTCTATACTGTGATATCAGGATGCCAGGGGAAATCCCAATCCAATCCTGTCTGTGTCTGTACTATGAATTGGTGAGATAGCCTTTGGATGCAGATTATATCCTTCCAACCTGAAGCATAGATGTATCAATAGGGATAACAGACAACACATACGAGTCTTTGCTCCCAAGGACTTATATGAAGCAGCGAGATATACAAGAGGAAGGAAGGAACACTACAAACATTATATGTGTTTAAAGATGGATTACATGCTGGAATAAAGTTCAAGAGGTTAAACTGAAAGCCATGTGGAAAGGTTGGGACAGAGGAAAAAATAGCATAGCGTACATATTCTGAAAGCACATTTCATGCATAGGGTGGCAAAAGAAAATGAGAAAAACCATTAAAAGATCATAGAATTATGGAAGATACCACACAGGCCATATGTCACAGGTTAAAACATCTATCACATATTGGAGATGGTTAATATGGAAACGATGACATCATTGGGTAAGGGATACCCAAAAAACCAAAAAAACAAAAGGTACATATAGGATAAGGGCAAGATGTCCATCCCTACCATTAGACAGAAGATTTAGGATATCAAAAAATGCAGCAAAGTTTATAACTTTGTTATTACTGCATTGGTATTTTCAGAGAAGGGTTGCTTGTAAGATTTCTTGTCCCATGTTTCAAAACAACATACAGTAACTGGCATTTGATTTCATATAGGTTCTTGTGAGTTTTCCGGGCTGAATGGCCATGTTCCGGAAGCATTGTCTCAGGAGAGAATGCTTCTGGAGCATGGCCATACTGCCCGGAAAACTCACAACAACCCAGTGATTCCAGCCATGAAAGCCTTCAACAAAACATTGGATATCATATATTCAACATTTCTTTGGGCAAAGAGAGTTGCCATTTAATGCTCTGTCCCAAGAAGCAAAATATCTTAAGCCATCCCTGACAGTTTTAGAAATGACTGCTCAGACCCTGAGACCTGTTTCACATGACACAGTTGTAGTGATGACTCCACTTTACTTGCCATAACTGTATCCTGAGGAACTGTCCATGTTTATACTTTGAAAACGTGACTGAGAAAACCCTTGGCTGGGATTTCTAAATATCCTTCTATAAACATGAAGTTGTAGCAATGGATGGTGGGTAAAATTACCCTCCCCCTTCCATAAGAATTCTCCCTTGAAATTAACTTCATTTTAAAATGTCTAATCTAGACATCCAAGCAGAGATTAAGTGACTAAGGAAATGCAAACACAGCAAGTATATGTAAGAGTTCTACATATGAATAATTTTCAGCGTCTCATTCTATGCAATGCTAGAAATTTGGGGACTGAAGAAAAATTTCATTGGGACCAGAATGTTTATTACTTACCTCAAGTTATGCCCCCATGTGAGATACAAATACCAGAATACTATAGGGCAAAGCTGTGACAGTTAAACTGGAATTATAGTGCTACAACTATCATTGTGTGAGAGAAGGAACATCAAAGCAAAGAGAAATGTGAAGAACTTTGCAGAACAGTTTGGATAAAAAATGAAGGGACTGAAAAATGAACGAGAAAGCCATTGCAGCCGTTAAGGTAGGAGATGATCACAAACCAGAAAAGAAAAGGGAGGAATAGGAACATTTATTGTATGTTGAATAGGGAAAACCCCATTGCTTGAGAAGGGAGAAAGGGTTATACATGGCGAAGGCAAGTCTGTCTGCCAAACAACAGGTTGAATGGTGATGTAAATAACAGAGATGGGAGTTGGATGCAGGAGAGAAAGGCTTACTGGAGGCTGGATAAATATTTTGGTCTTTGATATGTTGAGTATGTTCATGTAGATATATCCAAAAAGGATGCAGAGTGGCTGACTGTACAGAGAGGTAAAAAGACATGCATCTACATAGACCAATGACTTGCCATGACAGAAAAAAGATTCCTGTGTTGCACCATTTTTTGCATTGAAAAGGAGGTGTTGTTCATTGATTCACAGGGGAAAGAAGTTTAGAATAGTGGAAGTTATCTGAAAGTAGGGCAGAGTTGGGAAACTTAGCCTTCCAGGTGTCATTGATGTGCAAGACCTATAATTTCTGTCCATTGATTGTAATGGCTAAGGCTGATGGGAATAGCAGTCCAGCAACATCAGGAGAGCTACACACCACTCCAGGACTTTGGAGACTGAAATGAGGAGAAGTGACATTGATTAGTAGTTATTGGGATTGTGATATATCAAGGATATATAGAGAGGGGGAGGGGGAGGGGGAATTGGAGAGAAGTAGTGAGAAGAGAAAAGGAGAGTGACCTGCTGGGAAAGCATAATAATATGGGATATGATACCCAGGAGTCAGAGGGAATGGGATCAAAGGGACACATAGAAGGATTTGAGGGAGAGTGAAACTATAGGACCAACTCACTGAGTGCCCTTCCAGACAGGCCCTATATCCCAGGATCTGATCCTAGGTTTTCTGCTTTAAACTGGATTATATGAGTACGCACTGCCAGATAAACTGGGATAAACAGAAAACCAGGGTTCAGAGCCTGGGATATAGGGCCTGTCTGGAAGGGTTTTGAGAGGCAGAGATGATTTGTGCTATTAGTTCCATTATTAGCAAAACACAAACTCATAGAACATCAGTGTATGATGAACAGTGTACATTAGTAAAGCAAGAGAATTCATCCTTTGCTAACATACATCAAATTTTGATCAGATTCTCAATGTCATGTGCCTTGGAAATGCTTTTCTGCCAGTTGCAACTGCTGTTTTCCCTAAACACGGAAAGTTAGTTGTATCCCACACGCCTGGTTCAAAAATGCTTATGTAGAATGATCCCTGGAGATCAAAGCAGGCTTGGAATTTTGTTTGGCTTTTATATGGAATATATACACAAAGAGAAAGTACATCCAAATCTTTCTGTCTCTCTCTCAATTTCCATCTACTCACGCAAGGTCAAACTAGAGAATAGGTTTAGCATGATTTTCACAGCTCCCCAAAAGTAGCAAAAGATTCTGTATGGGATATTTTTAATTGATCTTATCTATCCCATTTTGCATTCAGCACGCGTTGTTAAGTCCTCCGTCACTGGAAAGTAAACATGGACTTAGTTTACAAACCTGAATGTTATGGCAGACATCTCTGAGGAAATCCCATTGTGGGTGGAAAAATGGTTTATTGCGTCAATACGTATTCCCCCTAATGCTTGACCCTTTCTTTTCCCAAACTTAGACAATGCACAATCTAAATCATCCATGCAGTTGAATAAATAAACACGCACACATTTTTTAAAATGGCACTTCTCTCTTGCAGAAGCAACAGATTGCTGTCTTATTTTTCTAGAAGTATTTGAGACCAAAATCTCAGAGTCTAGTTAAAACACAGAACTGAGTCATTTAAAACCAAGTCATTTTTTTCTATTTAATTATAGGTACCACTAACATTGTGAGGAGTTTTTAAAAAAACTCCACTACAGCATGTTTAAAAGGGGGTTGTTTGATGCAAGTAAAAGTTAAAACGTACTTCCCCGGGAGCTTGTTATTAATTTGTTTGAACAATGACTTCGAGTAACACAATTCGCAGAGATTTTCTTAGTCCCTTTCTTCCAGAAGAGGTCCACTGTCTGAGTGTGATCTTCAAGGTTAGACAAAAAACAATAAAACATTAGACCATCACACAAAATAGACTCCTGATCTCACACAGTCCACAGACAATAAAACCACTTTAAAAACACAGTGTGGAAATTAATCTATACAAATGAATTAGGATTTCAAAACAAATAAACATACATATATTGGAATACAATTATGTACAAATTCATGCCCTTGACAGTGTCCTTTCAGATTTCAAAAAACGGAGAGGGAACTGAATCCATAAAACACAAGTGCACATAAAGAATCATAGAGTTGGAAGAGACCTCAAGGCCATCCAGTCCAACCCCCTGCCAAGGAGCAGGAAAATCGCATTCAAAGCACCCCCCGGCAGATGGCCATCTAGCCTTTGTATAAAAGCCTCTAACAAAGAAGGAGCCTCCGTCACACTCTGGGGCAGAGAGTTCCACTGCTGAATTAGCTCTCAGTCAGGAAGTTCTTCCTAATGTTCATGTGAAATTTCCTTTCCTGCAGTTTGAAGCCATTGTTCCGTGCCCTAGTCTCCAAGGCATCAGAAAACAAGCTTGCTCCCTATTTATACATATTTATATATGGCCCTCACCATGTCTCCTCTCAGCCTTCTCTTCTGCAGGTTAAACATGCCCTACTCTTTAAGCCTCTCCTCATAGGACTTGTTCTCCAGACCCTTGATCCTTTTAATCACCCTCTTCTGGACACATTCCGGCTTGTTAACATCACCCTTAAATTGTGGTGCCCAGAACTGGACACAGTATTCCAGATGTATTCTGACACAAGGTTTTGGTTTTTGTCTTAACATTAACTACACGGTTTTCTAAAATTCACACTTTTTGAAAGCCCAGTTTTTCAGAACTCCCGCACTGCTAACTGAACTTTCAGGGATCTTCCATTGACAACAGAGTTATGGGCTTATAATGGTTGTTAGATAAGATTAAAGGTTTGAAAAGATTCCACCCTTAACCTGCAAAGTCAGCCCTTCAATGGAAGTGGTAGGAGATGATTTAGAAGAGCAAATGTCCATGAATATTAACAAACCACAAAAGTCTCAGATGTGTGGAATGATTTGGCAGACAGGGAGGTCACCACATGCTCTTACTTTACTTCAGATGTTTATTGTACTCCCCTTTCCCTTTAGAAGGAATTTGGCTTGCCTAGAAACCATGACACTGGGATAAAAAATGCACACAAACAACATTAACTTAGGTTTTACAACATGCACTCCTGTCCTGAAAAATACTTATTGAAATGTTTAATTGTGGGTACATGCACAATGTACACTGCAGTAACCAGAAACAAGTCCCACCAAGTTCAAAGGGGACGTTGTGCTACAATTCAGGGCATTTATTTGGGTCACATTCCACTTTGGCAAACTTTCTTTGAAGGAAGCATGCACATGGGACCAGATGGCAATTCTGGCTTGGCTCTCAATAAGGTAACTACTTTTGATGAAGGATAAGATGGAACCTCCACCCCTGTTGCTGTAAAGAAGCTGACAAAACTACCAACTTGGAAATGGAAAAAAAGAGCTAGATATGAGGATAACAGACCACGTTAGCAGTGAGAAATGTCCTCCAAGATAGATGCATAGGAAGAATAGTCAGGGGACTGCTGCTACCAATATCCACAACAGATTCCTGATGTTGGTAACATGATTTGTCCTCCTGGACTATACTACTTTACACTGCAAGCATGGGATTGGGCTTTCTCTGCACTTAAAGAAGCACTGTAGAATAAAAACACTCATCCTTTTCTTTTTCGTCCCTTCAAGTGCATTTTTCCATAGCTAGTAATTATTTACAAATATGTCAGGTAACCCTTTGATTTGGGTTTTGGTTCCCGGAATCCAGTCTTCTAGTGTTCCAACATTAAGAGTTGGGGTCAGTGGATCTCAGCCAGTTCAGAGTTTATTCCCCCTGCTGACATTGCACCTCACTCCCTGCTGTAGTTCACCATTTCAAGAAAAACAAGGTTTGCTCAGGCATTTTCTTTGCTCGTGATAATCCCTTGGCCAATGCCATTTTCAAAATATTGGCTGGAGGAATCTGTGCTCCTGTTGAACACTGTGGAGGGAATCCTGGAAGACCGGCGCTCTTGGTTTCTGTCCTCAAAAGAGCAGCAGATCATGCGTCTCATAGTACTTGACATTTCGTCATCTTTAAAAGAGTAAATGATTGGATTCATAGCCGAATTCAGCAGAGCCAGCAGAAGGAACCACCTTTTCACATTCTGAACCTCACAACGAGTGCAATTCAAGCCATCGAGAAGGAGAACGACAAGACCGGGAGTCCAACATACAACGAATGCACCTATCAAGAGGAGGAGAGAAAAATAAAACAAAAAGTTCAGGGTTATGTAAGCACCAGTTTTTCAAAAAGTGTTCTGTCCCACCAGAAAATATAGCAAGAAAATGGAAATGCCAAGTTAGCACGGGAATGCAAGCACAGCAAATGTGAGGGTTCTAGGTGTAAATGATGTTCAGTTTTTCCCTATCTGTAGTGCATCCTTCCTAATCTGAAATCCTCAGTCCCAAGAACAGCTAGGAAGGGTCACATTCTACCCTTGAGCTTCGTCCTTCAAGATTCTCTGAGAGTATTCACAAAGGGAGATCAGACAGGCCCCCACTCTCTCCATTTTCCGTAAGGAATTAAAAATCTGGTTGTTCCATTGTGCCTTTGATGAGGCAGCTCACCAAAGAGGTTCCCGACCTTATCTAAGCTCCTGCACTTTGGTTTGGTCCCCTCTAGCACTTCTAGCACTTTAATAAGGTCAGGGCATTCGCCTCCTAGCCCAGCCCTCCGTTTGCCACACTTGCCCTTGGCTCTACATAGGAAGAATTGCTTCTAGGAAACCTGAGCCCAAACCCACTATTGTTGTCAGCCACAATATTGGTTTATGATGTTTGTCTGATTATAATGTTTTATTGTTTTTAGATGTTTACTGTATTTTTGTGCTTGTTTTTAATCTGTATTTGCTGGGCATGTCCTTTGTAAGCCGCCCCAAGTTCCTTTGGGGAGATGGAGGGGGTATAAAAATAAAGTTGTTGTTGTTGTTGTTGTTAATTATTATTACCCCTTCAGACCAGTGTAGTTAATTGCAACAGATTATGTTTGCTTAATTGTCTTTATTTAGATAATGTATGCTTTGCAAGACAAACAAATCCAAAGCACACATTGCCATTAGAGTTGACTCACTGCATCTGCAAAAGTTTGGTTCCAAGACCAGCTACGTATACAAAAAAACACAATCACATCTCAGTGTATTAAATGGTGGCAACATGAATTAGCACTCTTCAGCATGTCTGCATTCATGTTGCCACCATTAATAATATGGGGAATAATCACCACAGTCTCTGGAAATCGCAGATCTGGAGGGCCCACTATGTGTGCACACGTGTGGAAGACTGAAACTAGAATTGCATAGCAGTGGCTATAAAACAGTGGTTCCCAATCAGGGACCACTTGAACAGGGACCACTTTGACCAGGAACCACTCTCCAACATTAGAACCAAAAAGGGTTACAAATCAGTTTTTGGACATCTTTAGATTTTGCTTGGTTATTTGGGGTGCTGATTCTGAAAATTGCATTGGATAGACCACATCAGCTCTAGTTTCTGATATAGAACACATGCTATCCAGTAGTTGCCATCTGCTCACCCACAGAAAATCACATTTAATAATCTAGAGCTGATGTGGTAGTAGTACTCTTTTGTGGGTAGTCAGCCTCTCCTCTCCCGACATCCCTGTTGCCTTGACACTATAAGAGGGTTTCATGAGACCAGTTGCTCTCGTTGCCATGTGGTTTTGAGGCAACGGTGTAGTAATGGTAAAACCATGGACTAGATTTTTGTTCTTGCAGACCACTGGTGGTCCACGGACCACAGGTTGTAAAGGGTATGTGTGTGAGAGAGAGAATTTCCATGGCTATACTAAAAAGAAAAAAAGACTCTAATTGGGAGGAGGAAAGTGAAGACAGTGACCTAGGAAATGGCCAAATAATGCCAAAGTAAGAGGAGGAGGAGGAAAATGTTTTGGAAGAGGTGATGGGTAGGCAACCTCAAGTCCTGTGTCTGAAAAGGTTTTAGCACAAATGAATGTTGCAATTCCAGAATAGTTCCCAAGGTGTGAAAGAAATCCCAACTCTACAGCATTTTAGAAACAATGATTTTATAATGAGAGAAGACACTGGTATGATAAACTCCTAAAAGGCAGCAGCTCGCAAGTACGATAAATCCTTATAGAAAACTGTTAAACTGTGCCTCTCTCATATTACCCTGTGCCAACATTGCCAGTTTGTCATTCTGTGCTTCTTACTGCTCAAGAGTGGAAAGAGAAACCACTGACAACCAGCATGTGCTTAGCTCAAGCCACAATTGCTGCCTAGTTTATAAAAATAGATAAATTATAGCTCTGTATAAGAAGGCCATCTATATAAGATACACAGAGAAGGAAGTACTGCTTGCTCCTTCCAGGGCTTACACTTTGGAAACATCCCCCATATCTTATATTCTCCAAATACATATTTCAGTAAGCCCCCCCGTGTCAATGAGAAAGCACTCTTGTGGTAGCCTTGGTGTCCCTTGACAAGACTAGGTTTAAAAATAAATGATTAAAATATATTCCCGAAGTTCAGTTTTCATAAACCTTGCTGGATCAAACCAAAAGTCTAATATGTCACTCTCTGCTCAACCTATGAGCAGGTTGGAAAGTTTCTTTAAAGAAGGAGGAATACAATGACATGCTGAAATCACCCACCAATGCCTCACAGTGTCATTATATTTATTCTTCATAAAAAATAACATGTTGAAGCACATTTGATCTGCGGCACTCATGTGGCAATAACGCCCTAGGTCACATTATGCATAATTTTCTCCAGACCAAAATGATTTACTTTCTTACAGTCAGAAGCAGATGAAACAATGCTGCTATTTCACAATCTGGATGGGGCTCCGAAGCCTAAAACATCTGGAGGACCAAAGTTTGAAAACCAAACCACACTCCCCAGGATTTCAAATGATGAAACCATGGCACTTAAAGTGGAATCATACTACAATGATTGTGCAGGATGAAAAGGCTGTTGTAATCACATGGCAATTGAAAGACATTTCAATCCACAATAGTTCAAAATAATGAAAGTGGTCTTACATCTAGAAGACCACTTTCATTACATCTGTAAAAGACTGGTTTTTTTTTTACAAATCCCAACTGAGCATGGACTACTGATCTGGGGCCACAGGTCAGACCATTTGTACTTTAAGCTCAATCTTATTTGCTTTGACTGGCAGCATCTTTCCAGGAGCCTTGGACAAACAAAAGCCTTTCCCTTCACAGTTGCTTGAGATCCTTTTCATAGGAAAATCCAGGAAATAAAGTCAGGATTAAGGACAAACAAGTCTGTTTTCCAACACTTTGCCACTACTGTTCTGTGTTCCGCATGAGTCAACTTGTAACCAGCTGCCTTCCTCTATCCAATGGTGGGCAAGAGATTACGATGAAGATGATGATTTTGGACTTTTACGGGCCAAATATGTATTACAGCCCACCTCCAATAGTATTTTCTCACTTTCATCTAACAAGTATCCACCTTTGTGCATTTAATTTTTCTCATCAATGAATTTTCTAGATCCAATAATTAGTTCCTGAATTCAGTACATTCTCAATCACTTTCAAAAACGTTTTAAAGCAGCTCCTTTGTACAACACCCATCTGTGAAAGCTATGCAAATAAAAATACAAAGGGAGGAAAGGAGATGGGAGCTTTGAAAAGTTCATATGTAGGCATGTTAGGACAGACTTGCTCAAGCACACTTCAGTTTAGCAAACCTGAAATCAAGTGCTGGCTTGCCTGGAGTGCCATACTCTTTCCTTTCAAAAACCTGTTTTCTGCCTAGGAGGCTTCAGCACACAACACAAGAAGAAATGTTCTGCTCCATTAAACAAAGGATTCACTAGAGTCTGGAGAAGTTGGTTTTTGTGCATTGTTCACAGAATGTCCTAGTCAGTAACCTGTCAAAGCTCAGTTGAACTCTGTAAGAGCAGAAAACCCAAAAATGTACAGTTGCTCCTGTAATAAATTAGGCAAGAATGATATGCTTCTGTACACATGGGGCAGGATACTATCAATGCAATGTATACAAATATGTTCCCTTACACATGTAGTTGCACTTTGTCATCTGTTGTATCCAGTTCACAGCCACAGAAATAGAATTCAAGAAAAGTAACCATTGTACTTGGCTTATTGTGAATATATAGTGATTATTCACAACAGGCCAAGTAAGTACAATGGTTACATTTGCTGATATACCACTTGATTCACTGGAATTTCAGACAGCCTGAACTGTTCAATTGCAAATGAGCATTCCACATTATGCAATGGAAGAATACAGAGATAAGCAAGCAAATTAATGGGTATATCAACTGGCATCCTGTTCAGTTATTATCATGTCATGAATACTTGGTTCTGTAGGCTATATTTCAGAGGAACAGGCAAAACCATCTTGAAGTAGTAGTTGTCCAAGAAAATCCTAATAATAACAGACAGTTTTAAGGTGCACACCCATATGCTAGCACAATCTACTTTTATGGTCATTGTACATGAAATGACCAGAAGTCCCTCTAACCTACCTTTTCAGCAGGACAACCAGACAGTGGGGGTGAGTGGGGATGGTCTAGCTTTCCCCCTGTAGCTGTGTGAACTCAATAGGCATCTGTGCTGAAAGGTTTTGTGGTAGAGCTTATCTGCCTATCTTCATGATCGCATTTTCTCCTACGAAAAACACAAGCCCTAAATGCATCCAGGGAGGCCCTTCTGTCACTTCCACCTCTGTCTCAAGCCTGGTTGGTGGGGACGAGGAAGAGGGCCTTCTCGGTGGTGGCCCACCAGCTCTGGAACTGTCTTCCTAGGGAGATCGGACTGGTACCTACCCTGTCCACCTTCCGCATGAACCTAAAATCATGGATGCTCTGCTGTGCCTTTGACTAGGCAGTTCCAAAGAATTGGCCCAATGTTAGCTAAGTTCCATCACTTTAACATAGTCCTCTGCTCTACAATCCTGACATTTTAATGCCCATTAACATTATCCTCCCAGTCCTGCCTTTCTGAATATTGCACTTTCCCTTAGCTGTGTCTAGGAATTTGCACAAACCCAGAGCCCTCTGAACTCAGCACTTTTATCGTTCTGTATGGTACTGTTTTTATGATGTTATGTTTTATTGCGATATGTTTTTATTTGGTTTTGTTTTGATGCTATCTTATTGTGTTATGCTTTTAACTTTGTGCTCCTTGGGCTTGTCCCTTTGTAAACCACCCTG